ACCCCTCTGTACAGTATTTTCACAATTAAAAAAAAAGGCCAGGAGCCTGTTGCAAACCTCTAATCACAGTACTCAGGAGACTAAAGATACCAAGATTAGAAGAATAGATCTCAAAAAAAAAAAGACTCATGAACCAACAAATCAGTAAGAACTTAGTTGGTCTAGCTGGCATTAAAATGAAATAAAATATGGTTAGCAGGAAATCAGAAAAGAGATGACTTGGAAACATTGTGGAGTATCAGAGGCTGGGTATCTGCCCCTACACACTATGCCATGTTCATAGGAGGAGAGCAATGGAAAGTGCCTAAACCTATCTGTCAGTCTCAAACCCTTTTTTTCTCAGCAAAGAACCCTGAACCTGCAGGCACACTGAGCAATTGTATGATCTGGACTGGAGCTGCAATACTGACTCAGAGTACACAGATTAAAAGCACAAGCAGGGACTTTTCCCACAACACATCAGTATCAGAAGAGTAGCAGGAACTCGTGACACTGCATATGTTTTCACCACAAGATCATTTCTTGCCACCTGAAAGATGGCACAGAGTTAGCAATTGTACACTACTAGGTGAGATTATCACCTTTGTTCTCTACAGACTAACCAGGGAGAGAAGCCACAGTAAGGAGAAAGCTATGCCTGATCATAAAGACAGGAACACTTTTCCCCTGTTCCCTGATTACTGTCACTCTCACTTTTCTTACCTTTCCATGCATTACATTGGCATTCAGTTTCTCAACCACATTCTTCTGTGACAGGTATTTCTTGCTGTCCCAAAGAAAACAAAAAGGAAGGGAAACAAAAAATCATCTGAGGCACCAAAGAAAGAAAGTATCTTCATGAACCTTGAAGCAATGGGGACTCTTGATGCAGAAGTGTTCTTAGAAAACTATTTCATATGCAGTAACACAACTTGGGCTATTCTGGTCTTAGAACTATCACTTATATTCAGTATTCTGTCAAGGACTTCTCTTGGGAATAACAAACAGGAAACTCTACTAGGGAAATAATGAAAACAGAATCTCAACAGAATAATTGGCTGCTACCTTATCCCTTAATAAAAATGAGTAGGGATTTAAGTTCCCTTCATACTTACTCTGAGCTACAAAGAACCTACAATTACTCTTCTCTTTTCCAACACAGTGAAGTATCTACAAACAGGTTCCTACAATTTCAACATCTTACCATCTGCCCAACCAGTCCACAGCAGCATTATGAAGCTGAAGGTGACCAGCACCTTGACCAGCACTGGCAAGGGTGGCCATCACAACCATGAGTTCAGGAAAGCCAGTCCCATCACCATTGGCCAGCATCTCTGTTGCCATGGGGGTCAGGGTGCCCAGAAGGACAGCACACACGCCTTCTCCAACTTGGCTGTTAGAAAAGAAAGAGCAAATTGGTGAGTAATCAACAAGGATCTGACTCTCATATATTTCAAATTTGTAACAGTGATTAAATTGATTTAAAAATATAAGACATAATCCCAACTTCAGATATGGGCTCCTACAGCACCAAACATTCACTCCAGTTGTAAGTGGTAGACTAGGTTATACCAGAAGACTTTCCATGGGAAAGTCTGGCCTTTTTTTTTTTTTCTGCGTATGTGGTGCTGAGGAATCGAGCCCAGGGCCTCATGCATGCAAGGCAATCACTCTACTGCTGAGTTACCTTCCCAGTCCCTCCATGGGAAACAAACAAGAAGCTACACTAGATTCCTGGTAAGGGAAAAAGAAACCATGAAAACACTGCAAATGTTAAGTATAGTGCCTAAAGGAAAGCTAGCTGTAGATGCTCTACATGAGAATGTTATAGACAACAGACATGCATGTAATTGCTCTACCTGTTTTCCCGAACAATGTACGTGGTCAGTAACTGCAACAGCTGCCGGTTCTCCTGAATTATATCCAGCTGATCAGAATCTTTTGGGGGTGATGTAGTCATCCGGGTGAGCCAGGCCTGCAAACGCACAGGCTCCACACAAGCCAGTTGTGCCAATGAGCCACAGAGATGCAGAAGGCTCGGGTTAGGGCTCTTCTCAGCTAGGAATAGACCAAAACCTACAGTCAAGGAAGAAGGACTAGGGGAAAGCAAGAACAGGGCACACCAAAAGCCAGAAAAGAAGGAAAGGCCTCAAGAATGTCAAGTTCCTTCCAAACTTTCTCTGAGGGATTCTCTCCACTTGTTAGCATTTTCATGCTGCAGTTAAACTCAGGCAGAAGATAGGAACAGCATTAGCTGGACATCAAAGTTCCCCTAAGAAGATTACTAAAAGCTGTCACTCACTCAGCTGGAAGAGTTTGGTGAAGAATTTCAAGACTCGGTTACAGAATTTAGCAGAAAGGTTCTCATTGGCTGTGGCCATCATGATCTGCACAAGTTCGCCACTGCAAGGCAGGAGGGGGAAATGGAAGAATCACATTAAGCTTCACATAAAAGGAACCCATTTCTATTTCTTCACAATCTCATCTCCTTTGGGAGAAATGGCCACTGTGACCATTTCAGAACCACAGGTGGTCCTGAAATCCAACCCCTCTCATCAACAACCTCAAGAAGTCAGAAATTAACTTAAGCCCTCTCCAAGGGACAGGCATCCATGCAGACCTTCCTCAGTCCCTGAGAAGGACACCTGAGTCAACACATACAGCTCCCTGCTTCAGGAGGATTCAGTGGTCACACTGAATAAAGCCAGATACCACTCACCTGTCTGAGAAGAATTCTTCCATGGCTTTACGGGCCTGGCTACTTTCTAATTGCTTTTCCAAATATTGAAGACATTCCTCCAAGATAGACTCATCCAGTCCACTGAGGGTCAAAGAAAAATTAGCCACCAATAGTAAGACATGTTTATGTCTTCCTCACATTGACTTTTAAAACTCAAAGTTCATTTACAACTAGACCTTAAGGGCAATGTCCAGTTTGTTCTGTCAAAGCTGAGTATAAAGTCTAACAGCACATATTAAATGTCAAATCAATGTTTCATGAATGAACAACAACACAACTTATTTTACTACCCTCTTTCTAGGAAATTAAATAGGAAAGGCATCTGAACTTCAGAGCCCTAATTCATACCAGCCAGTGATTTGAGGGTTGCTTTTTTTTTGGGGGGGTTCAGTCGTGGGGCCTCAACTCTGGGCCTGGGAGCTGTCCCTCAGCTCTTCAGCTCAAGGCTAGCACTCTACCACTTGAGCCACAGCGCCATTTCCGGCTTTTTTCTTTTTGCTTATGTGGTGCTGAGAAATCGAACCCAGGGCCTCATGCATGCAAGGCAAGTGCTCTACCACTGAGCCACCTTCCCAGCCCTGAGGGTTGCTTTTCTTGAGGGGATAATCTGGGACAAATCATTTCTTCATGGCTAAATTGTTTTAAATTTCTTATATAAAGAAATACATTATGTACAGTATTTTTACAATAAAAACATTAAAAAATACATTAATACATAATTCTATATATAGTTCAGATCTCATGAAATGAAATATGGCTATTGTAGATGAAAGGGTAAGCCTAAATGTAGGTAGCAGAATGAAAAACAAAGACTTGAGGGAAGTTTGTCTTTTAAGTGTTGATTATGAATTTACTGTTTTCAACCTGGTAAACCTGACAAGATCCTTATAAACATGAAATGAATAAAAAAAAAAAAAAAAACATGGCACGGGACATATTGTCCAAACAAAATATACTTATTACCTGACTTATGTAACTATAACCCCTCAGTACATCAACTTTATAATAAAAAAATGAAAAAACTTTAAAAAAAACAGGGTCTGCTGAAGGTGGGTGTCAGCAGGAGGGGAGAAGGTGACAGACAGAGAGACTGAATGAGAACGAACATGACCCTAGTACTTTAATAGGCATGAAAAAAATAAAACAATGAAATATGTTGAAATTCTTTAAGAGGAGGTGAGAAAGGACAAAGAAGAACGATAGAAGGGGTAAGGTACACAAAGCAGAGTTTCCACTTTAACAGCACAGTATCCAGCTAGGGTGAATGTAGCTGTGCTGATACATTCATCTCATATCAACAGGGCACAGGAACCTGACTGCTTTCCTCCTTCAGCTCACCTGTTGGGGTCTGCATGATTGGCCAGAATGTTGTAGCAACCAGTGATCAGCTTCTCATAAACACGAGCCAGGAACTCATCAGATTCTGCAGGGCCTAGGATGCGTTCCAGGGAGTTGCTACTGATCTCAGCAACACTCTCAGTGCTGGACTCCAAAAGAAGGGGTAGCAGGGTCCGAATGACCTGTGGTGGGTTCATCTCATCTGCCCACCTTGAGCAGAGAGACAGACCAAGTTAGTGAACAAACTCACCCAAAGTGACAGACCAAGTTAGTGAACAAACTCACCCAAAGTGATACAAGGCAGGGTTTGGGTAATTCAATTATTAACTGAGGAGAGTTTTTATTCACTTTCTTCCCTTGATGGCTGCTTTCAGTGTAATATAAGCATGTAATTCTGAGTTTTTTTCACCATTATATCAGAGGCAAAAATAATTTCCACGTGAAAGATACATTTACTATGTCAAATAAATGAGCTGTATTTTGTAATATTCAAAAATAGAAACAGACAGAGAGAGAGAACACTAACTAAAAACTAAGTAATCCTCCCTAGGGAGGAATCTGAGCTAGCTGCTGGTAGTTCATGCCCATAAAGGAACCTGAGATCTGAGGCTCTCATTTCAAAGCCAGCCTGGACAGAAAAGCTCATGAAGCTCATAGATCCAAATCACCAAAAAGCCAGAACTGGCAGTGTGGCTCAAGTGGTAGAGCAACAGCCTTGAGTGAGAAAACCAAATGAGGGCATAAGGCTGAGTTCAAAGCCTAATACTGGCATAAAAAAAAAAAGACAAATAGTCTCACTGGTGGCCTGCCCTACTCCTTATGATGACAAAGACTAAGTACTGCAATGATTCTGGAGAAAGAAACATTATCAAGCAATCTCTGTAAAATATAAGCCCAAACACCTACAAATCATAATACTGGTATAAAGCAAGTTGGCCTTTTCTGAAAAAGAAAGAGAAGAGCTGATACTCTTAGGCCCTTCAGACCAAAGATTTCTAGGTAAGTGTTTATTCTTTGGAGTAACAGGTTCTCTTGGCTGAAAGAGGACACAAGAGAAACATCATGGTATAGTTACAAAAACTCTCAGTGTCTTCCTTTAAGAAAACTGATACAAAGAGCACTCAGGGCTAGGGGCTGGGTACTCACACAATCAGGTCTCCAGTCAGCCTAACCAGTGAGAGGAGAGTATGCTTCAAGGAAGCAGCCAGAGGCAGACTCTGGCCACAAAGAGTTCCCAAGTGAGCAGCTTGCACAGCACTGATGTAACTCTCAGAAGGGATGGTATCATTGGCAAAGGCATTGCGCTGAAAGGAAGCAAATCAGATGTGAACAGATATATTACACATCCTAGATGAAATTCTCCAATAGGAAAAAAAATTGAGTTAAACTAAGACCTGCTGAGTACAACAGTTAGTTATTAGCCCTGTTACTGGCCCTGGGAAGGGTACACAATTAGTTATTGGTCTGGGAGGTACAACACATGGGGGAATTAGGCAGTTCACAAATTTCTGCCCAAAGTTAACGGTTAAATACAACAAATATCCAATATCAATTCCAATATACAACAAATACCAGTACAGGGGCTGGGAAGATGGCTCAGTGGTAGAGTGCTTGCCTTGCATGCCTGAGGCCCTGGGTTCGATTCCTCAGCACCACATAAGCAAAAAGAAAAAAGCCAGAAGTGGCGCTG